ACTAATAACTTTGCCTATTGCTATTTCATTGATACTTGCAGAAGACCTGAGACTCCTGGGTCAGAGACAAAGGAATTTTTTACTCACGACACAGCAAGTAGCATAAACTCATGCACTTTGCCTCCCAAATCTCATGGAGAGAAACACTGAAGTTGAGGATCCTGCAATTTTATAGAAAGCAGTAAGCAAATCTGGTCTCTGTCTGGGAGGGATACATTATTTCATTACTCAAGGTTGCTCGCTGCAAACATAACCCACAGAAATAAGCCACGTAATGAGTAGTCACAGCCTTGTAGTTTTGGCATACCTAGCAAAACATATACATGACTCAGGGAAGAGTATCTCTCCCAACAATAGTTATTTAGACTGAAACAATGAAGCTCAGAGATGGTAATAAAGGACTTTATTATATTGACAAAGCCATTAATATTAGATCCTGAGTTTTCCCAAGAAACTTGCATTGTCTAATATGTAAAATATTTTATGTAATTTTTTGTTTTTATCACAGGCTTAAATAATATTATTTGGATATAAATAAATATTAAGTATAAATAATATATTATTAATATGATATTTAGGCTGGGTACAGTGACTCATGCCTGTAATCATAGCATTTTGGGAGGCTGAGGCAGGAGGATCACTTAAGCCCAGGAGTTCGAGACCAGCCTGGGCAACATTGTGAGACCCCTCCTCTACAAAAAAATAGAAAAAAATTAGCAGGATGTGGTGGTACATCTGTAGTCCCACCTACTCAGAAGGCTGAGGTGAGAGGGTTGCTTGAACCTAGGAATTCGAGGTTGAAGTGAACTGTGGTCTTGCCACTACACTCCAGCCTAGGTGACAAAATGATACCTTGTCCCCCCAAAAAAAGATATTTAATAAAGGCATTATAAACATGTTTACCAAAACATAACATAACTTTATTAAATATTTTAATAAAATATTTATTAAAATATTTCTATATAAAATTTCTATATAAAATACTATTAAATATAATTTATATATTAGTAAATGCAACTACCTCATTTTTGTTTTTGTTTACTTTTTAAAATGTATTTACTAGAAACATTTCAATTACATATACTATATGCTCACATATATATTATATTTCTATTGGGTAGCACTGAAATAGACTGTAATTGCTTTATCTCCTTTTTTCTTTTTAAATCTCTTGTTCTTAATCTCCCCCCATCCCCACCCTTTTTTGGGTATAACATGCGTATAATACATGCATCATGTACTTAACTTAAGCACGCAACTCGCTGAATTTTTACCAATGCATATACTCTTATCATCACCACCCAGATCAAGATACAGAACATTTCCATCACTGCAGAAAGCTGCCTCAGGCCCTTTTCTAGTCAATATGTACTGACTCCCTTCCTTTTTGACACCCGCTATTTAATTGCCATCACCATCAAGAAGTTTTTCCTGCATTAGAAGTTCATGTAAATGGAATCACACAATATGTACTCTTTTGTGTCTGGCTTCGTGTGCCGATTGTGATTGTTTAAAAGATTTATCTTCATTGTTGAATATATCAGTAGTTTGGTTTTTACTGCTTTGCAGAATTCCATTGTATGGCATACCACATTTATCTGTTTTCCAGTTGACGAATATATGGGTTGCTTCCAGTTTGGACTATTATGAATAAAGTTGTGAACATTCATATATATGTATATCCCTCTTAACCTTTAAAGAAAGATTGTGATAAATCTTCGGCAAGACACTCCCATCTATTCACCCACCCCCACTCCAGTATCTAACACAATGCCCTTCTTTTTTTTTTTTTTTTTTTGAGACGGAGTTTCGCTCTTGTTACCCAGGTTGGAGTGCAATGGCGCGATCTCGGCTCACCGGCAACCTCCGCCTCCCGGGTTCAGGCAATTCTCCTTCCTCAGCCTCCTGAGTAGCTGGGATTACAGGCACGCACCACCATGCCCAGCTAATTTTTTTGTATTTTTAGTAGAGACGGGGTTTCACCATGTTGACCAGGATGGTCTCGATCTCTCGACCTTGTGATCCACCCGCCTCGGCCTCCCAAAGTGCTGGGATTACAGGCTTGAGCCACCGCGCCCGGCCACAATGCCCTTCTTGAAGGATATTTGTTGAAGCATGATTTCAAACAGCTGTGTGGTGATTTATGTGTCTCCTAGACCTCCTACGGAAAATAAAGTCCAGTGGCAGAACGAAGTCTACTCGAAGTTTCCACTATTATCATAAATAATGAGCAAATAACTCAGGAAGGCAGTCTGCTGTATTTAAATGGTCTATTTCAGTCTTGTTGCCAATTAAAAATAGACTTCTGCTCCCAGATAAATTTTAGTGACTGATCATAAAAGAATGTAATATTTCCTATGCCATTTTCTTTTTAAAAATTCCTCCCCATTTTCTCCATCTCCTTTCCTTTTTCTTTTTAGCAGCAATTCAGAGAAAGGCAAGTTCTAAATAAAAATATAAATAAATATTCAAAGAAATACAATGTGTTTTGTAAGGAGCGTTATTATTGTGGTAGTTAATTCAAAACTTTCTTCTTCCAAATCTCTTTTCTTTATCGATTTGAAAGATGACAGAAGCCAGATATCTTGGGTTTGAGTCATGGATCTGAAATCATGAATGAGGCTGGGGAACTTAATCTCTGAGCCTCAGCTTTTCCTTGCTAAGTTGGGAATATAATATCTTCCTACGGGGTCACTTACAAGATTAAAAGCCCTAACATATGATTAGGCATGAGCCTTTGTGAAGCCCAGTCCTTATTGAATCCATACCTTCTTCCTGCATGATTACTCTTTGCTGTTCTCTTTGTGTCTCTGAAAATTTGGGCATTACCAGGCATCAGTTTGCGCCAAAGTTCCCAAATTGTGTGGCTAGCACCCTGGGGTGCCGAAACAAACTCACCAAGAGCACTCCAGGATATTTTAAATTCTGAAGGGAAATGGTGACCATTGGTATTTGTCAGACATGTAATGAATGACTCCAAGTAGTGCACAGTTTCAACATCACATTGTGGCGCATTTTTTTTCATTGATAACATATGTTTGCATTATAGTACTTTTTTTCATCATTTCATATCTTTACAAGACTGTGTTTTCTGTGGTTTTGTTGATTTAAGAAAAAAGGACTGCCTGATTATCAATGTGCAACAGAATGAGAAAGTCTCATTTCAAGGTTAGAGAAATTGGGCAGTAACCAACAGGCACAGACATCTAATTCATAAGCGTGGTTGTTCAAGAATGAAATTAAAAATAAGTTTTTTGATTTGTGTATATCATTTCTTCATATGCCTAGTAAGTTGCTAGGATATAAATACTAAGTTGTTTGGATCTCGCCTGTTCAATGAACTTATTAGGTATTTCTTTTGGTCTAGGGGTGCTGTGAAAAAATGACTAAGATGATAGCAATTTTGTGAACTTTCTGCTCTAACAATGTTTAACCTAGGACAAATAACAGTGATATAAATAAAGATGTAGATTTTGTAGTAGGTATTTACTGATAATAACAAATGATTACGCTAAATAGTTGAGACTACACCTTGTAGACAAACATGCAACTCCCCAGGAAACCAATTCTTTTTTTTTTTTTTTTTTTTTTGAGACGGAGTTTCGCTCTTGTTACCCAGGCTGGAGTGCAATGGCGCGATCTCGGCTCACCGCAACCTCCGCCTCCTGGGTTCAGGCAATTCTCCTGCCTCAGCCTCCTGAGTAGCTGGGATTACAGGCACGCGCCACCACGCCCAGCTAATTTTTTGTGTTTTTAGTAGAGACGGGGTTTCACCATGTTGACCAGGATGGTCTCGATCTCTTGACCTCGTGATCCACCCGCCTCGGCCTCCCAAAGTGCTGGGATTACAGGCTTGAGCCACCGCGCCCGGCCTCATTCACTCTTTTAACTTAACTTGGGCACCCATTATTTGCCAGGCACCGTCCTAGGAAAACACAAAGGTTCCTGGAGCTTTCTGTGTATCAGAAGAGAAAGATACTACACAAATAATCATTTCGTTGTGATTGGGAATAACTGACAGGAAGATAAATACAGTGCGCATTTGGAATGGATTCGACCACTCTACCCCCACTAGAATGGCTGAAACTAATAACCCTGACCATGCCAAATGTTGTGGAGCAACTGGAACTCTCAAGCGTTGCTGGTGGGGATTTAATATGATCCAGTCACTTTGGTAAACAATTCGACAGGTTCTTGTAAAGTTAAACATACAACTTACAAGACCTAGTCATGCCAGTCTTGGTATTTACCCATGAGAAAAGAAAATATATCCACACAAAAACCTGTACGCTAGCTGTTGTAGCCGCTTTATTCATAATTATAAAAAATTGGAAACAACCCAAATATCTACAAACAAGTGAATGGATCAACAAATGGTAGTGATTCCACAGAATGGAAAGCAATAAAAAGGCATGGACTTCTGAGACACTGACAGTGCTGGATGGACCTTATGCTAAGAAGAAGAAACCAGACTCCAAAAAAGTGAAGACTCTGTGAAGCTCAGGCACAGGGAAAACTGTACTGCCGAGATAGAAATCAAGTTAGAATTGCCTCGGGAGGAGGCGGTTATTGGGAAGTCTCGGGACTTCCTGGGGTGCTGGAAACCTGTTGTACCCTCACTGGAGTGGTGGCTACACAGGTCAACACCTTTGCCGAAACTCATCAAGTGTACGCTGAAAATCTGTGCGTTTGACTTTCTGCAAACCGAAGGCTTTTTTTTTTTTTTTTTTTAGTATCACACAGTGACTGTGGTAGTGGCTGGAAATAGAATTCATGGTTTTTGATAAAGAAGAATATTAAAGTGTATTCCGCTTTTTAAAAAAAAAAATGGCAGTGGGGGTGGGAAAGGAGGATGCCAAGCACCAGAAACTTTCCGAAGTGTTGAGAAGCGAGCGGAAGGAAACTTGGAAACGTTCTACATTTCACAGGGCGAGGGCAGGGTGCAGAACCGCCCGCCTCCCGGGGGGCTCGACCCAAGTCGAGCCCCGATTCCCCGAGGTGGTCCTGCCGCTCCCAGCGCTCTCCGCAGCCGCAGCCGCCACCTCAGCCGCGGAGCGACAGCCGGACGGGCGGGCCCTCGCCGGCGTCGTGCTGACGTCACGTGCGTGCTGACGTCGCCGGCGGCCGCGGCCTCTGAAGCGGGCTGGGGCTCGGGGGGCGCCGAGTTTGAGTAGTTTGGGGGCTGCTGAGCGCTGGGCGTTGCTCCCGCCTCCCGCTGCGCCCCGCAAGCCGCGCCTCTAGCGGGCTAGGTGAGCCCCGCCCGGTCCCGCGGGGACCCGCACGAGAGGCTGGGCGGCGCTCGGAGAAAGTTGGCGGCTCCCAGACTGGCAGGCGGGCGGGCGGGCGGCCGCAGCCATGGAGCCCCGCAGCATGGAGTACTTCAGCGCCCAGGTGCAGCAGAAGGACGTCGGCGGCCGGCTGCAGGTCGGCCAGGAGCTCCTGCTCTACCTCGGCGCGCACGGCGCCATCCCGGACCTGGAGGAGGACCTGGGCCGCCTGGGCAAGACCGTCGACGCGCTCACCGGCTGGGTGGGTTCCAGCAACTACCGGGTAAGCTACGACGGCGAGGCTGGGCTGGTCACGCCCTCCGCTGCGGCCCTTTAATCCCGGACGAGAGCGCCGTGCCGGGAGAGCTCCCGACCGAACCGCCGCGTAGGAGGGGAAACACACTTTGGGAGGCCGAGGCGGGCGGATCACGAGGTCAGGAGTTCGAGACCAGCCTCACCAACATAGCGAAACCCTGTCTCTACTAAAAGTACAAGAATTAGCCGGGCGTGGTGGCGCTCGCCTGTAATCCCAGCTGAGGCAGGAGAATCGCTTGAACGCGGGAGGCGGAGGTTGCAGTGAGCCGAGATTGCGCCAAAAAAAAAAGAGGGGGAAACACGGGTCCCCCGTCCCCACTGGGCAGCCTGCCTCTTCGTACGCGAACCGAGGACTGACTTCTGACCACGTTTTTCTACACTTGTGAACAGTGACTAATTCAGCGATTCCGTGATACGTTGCGGAGTTACTTGGCAGTAGGACACAATGTCGATCACTTATTTAAAAAAAAAGAAATCAGTGAAACACTTCAACATTTGTGCTCACCTGTATAAACACTACCCAGACCAACATATAGTACATTAGGACACGATTTTAGGTTGAAAGGAGATGTCAAGTTAATTCCCTCTTAATGGTTTTTATCTGTTTATTTTTAAAATAATTTTTATGTTTGGGATGTTGTTATCTTCGTCTCTAAAGCATCCTTAAGGATTAAACAGGTCCCTGATTGTGTTTACTTTTACATCTAAAGAAAAGATGCTGACCCCCTCACCTTATTTATTTGCTTTTCCTTTATTGAGAGCAGAAAGCAATTGAACTCGCTGTCATTTTGCTTTCCCTCGGGGTTTAGGACTGACTTGGATTTGAAACTGTGTCCTAGTAGATAGGCCAGTGCTGGGGAAGAATAAACAAAAAGATGAGGTACAAGAAGAAATGAGCCTTTCTGAAGAGTCGTTGATACGCAGGTTGTAATGTAGCCAGGTTGGGAGGCCAGATAAGTATTTTGTCATTAACATTCCCTGTAGTCGTTAGTAGTTACTTTTCTTTCTTGTCTTCTGGTGGCAGTGTTGCTTTAAAATGCTGGCTGCAACTTCCCATGAATGAAGTGATTCTTCTTAGTAACATATTCTCATAACTCAATGAATAGGCTGTACTTTGAAACCTTTTATTCAAAAAGAGAAGAAGGGCAAATTCTAGATTTATGATGCAGATTTAATGGTAAAACCCAGATGAGTTTTGGAAAGGTTAGACTTTTTATAAGGATAATAAAGTTTGAAAACTAACCACATTGATGCTTCATTACATACCATCTCTTGATTATTATTTTTTAAAAGTTTGGGGAAAAGTTAATGATGTATCATTATCATTTGGGAGATTATTTCTTTGGAAGAAACAAGCTAAATTTATTTACTCTGTGAGAAAGGCATATATATATTCACACTCAAAATAGTTGATTATTATTATTTTTTTTTGAAATGGAGTTTCGCAATTGTTGCCCAGGCTGGAGTACAGTGGTGCGCTCTCAGCTCACAGCAACCGCTGCCTCCCGGGTTCAATTAATTCTCCTGCCTCAGCCTCCTCAGTATTTGGGATTACAGGCATGTGCCACCATGCCTGGCTAATTTTGTGTTTTTAGTAGAGACAGGGTTTCTCCATGTTGGTCAGGCTGGTCTTGAACTCCTGACCTCAGGTGATCCTCCCGCCTCAGCCTCCCAAAGTGCTGGAATTGCAGGCATGAGCCACTGCACCTGGCCATAAGATAGTTGATTTTATGCTGCAGCATAGACTGTTGTAGAAAGACAGTGCTTTGATAATGTTTGCACCCCTTCCCAAGTGAAGATTGATGTGCCATCTTCTACACAAGCTGTTGTAAATTGGCTTTGGGCCATTTCATTCCTCAGATGTATTGTTAGTGAATGACAGTTGAGCAATCACGCTGATATTCTGTGATACCACACTGTGCTAATTTTTTGTTATACCTCTAAGCCCTACTTCCACTTGGTGCTGTGTTTAACTGTTGTTAAGAGTTAGAATCCATCAGAAGTCTCATCCAGCTTCTCATCTGTTTTTACTCTATCTTTTATTTGTGCTCCTGACTAGGTAATGTAGCCCAGGACAGTTTTCAGCAATCAGAAGAGAACTGCCACAGCCTCCCACCGCCTTATCTATACACTGCCTTATAGCTGTGACTATATAATCTACCTTCTTCCTTATTATTAATAGGTGAATCGCCTGTTTTCCTCATTTATGCCATTCCCTCCACAAAAGTATTAGATTTCATGCCTTCTTGCTTACTCAAGGACATTGATCCATTCAGTTCTGTGCTCTCTTTCCTAAATTACTAGTTCTCCCCTTTCTGTTGAATTCTATAGTATAAAAACTTTTCTGACATTGTTAGGGAAAGGGCATTCGAATTAATCTGTTACTTTGAGTTTTATAAACTAAGTTACCCAACTGGGTAATCTTTTTGAGATACAATAAAACATTTAACTCTATTTTAAAAAGTGTGTTATAGAAATTTTTGAACATACAAATAGAATCAGTCGTACTTCAGTTTCATTTTATACTGAACAAAATGCAGTTTTTCTTTGGATTAGGTAGTACTTCAGAATCTGAATGTCTTGGTAACAGTCATTGTATTAGTAAATTTAAATGCTGCTGAGGATTCATCCAGCTTTGAACAAGACAAGTCTCATTCATTCAGCTTCATTAGGATATTTATTGGTGGCCTATTATTATCAGGAATTTACTCTTCTAGGCATTGCAGATACAATGTGAAAAAAAGACAGATATTTGCCTTTGTGGACTTAGATTCTAGTAGTAGAAGAGGAATAAGCAGGCAAGATAAATAAAATGTATAGTGTGTTATATGGTGATAAGTGGTTTGGAGAAAAAGAGCAGTGAGAGGAATAGGGAATACTAGGCAAGATGCAGATGTTGGCATTTTAAATAATTGGTCATTGAAGACCTAATTGAGAGGGTGATTTAACAGAAGATGGGAAAGTGAGATCCTGCAATTACGTTAGAAAGAGGTAGACAGGGCCGGGCGCGGTGGCTCAAGCCTGTAATCCCAGCACTTTGGGAGGCCGAGGCGGGTGGATCACGAGGTCGAGAGATCGAGACCATCCTGGCCAACAAGGTGAAACCCCGTCTCTACTAAAAATACAAAAAGTTAGCTGGGCATGGTGGTGCGTGCCTGTAATCCCAGCTACTTAGGAGGCTGAGGCAGGAGAATTGCCTGAGCCCAGGAGGCGGAGGTTGCGGTGAGCCGAGATCGCGGCATTGCACTCCAGCCTGGGTAACAAGAGCGAAACTCCGTCTCAAAAAAAAAAAAAAAAAAAGAAAGAGGTAGACAGGTATAGAAATTAGATCATTTCAGGTAGCATGTGCTTGTAAATTAACATGGTATGAAATGATTTTGAGACTGTATTTTGGGTGGTCAGGAAAGGTGACGTGAGTGCAGACACTGAAGAAACATGAGTGACGAGTAAAGAATGATGGAAACAGGAAACAGCAAATTCAGAGACCCTAGTTTTTTTGAGGAACATAAAAAAGCCAGCCTGGCTAGAGTTTATACAAGTGAGGTGTTAAGAAAGATGAAGTTGAAGAGGCAGGTATAAAGTCATATTATTTTATTCTAAATATGGTGGAGGGAACTGGGCATGGTGGCTTGAGCCTGTAGCCCCAGCTACTTGGGAGACTGAGACAGAAGATCGCTTGAAGCCAGGAGTTTGAGACTAGCTTGGGCAACATAGCAAGTTCCTGTCTAAAAAAAAAATACAGTGGAGGGTTGTATGTGTGTAGAGGTTATCTGCTTTGTGGAGAGTTGACTGTAAAGGAACAGCAGAAGCAGCAGAGAGAGAGAATGGTGGCTAGGCCTGATTTGATAGCGATGGCAATGTTGAGAAGTGGAAAATTTGGGCTGTGATTTGGTGGTAGATCCAGTAAGAGCTCCCACTGGATTGGGTTTGAGGGTTGAAAGAGAGGAATTACGGATAATTGCCTTGCTTGAGCAGTAGCTTAGATTGTGCTATTTATTAAAATAGGAAAGACTGAGAGAAGAACAAATTGGTTGAAGGATTAAAAAGTTTAGTTTTTACTGTGTTAGGTGTGAGAAGGTTGTTTAACATACAAATTGAGACAATAGACAGTTGGGGTCCTGAGTTCAATGGAGAAGTCATAATTGAAGATGAAAAATACGGAAATAGGCCAGTACAGTGGCTCACGCCTGTAATCCCAGCACTTTGGAAGGCCAAGGTGGGTGGATCACGAGGTCAGGTGTTCGAGACTAGCCTGGCCAACATGGTGAACCCCCATCTCTACTAAAAATATAAAAATTAGTTGAGCATGTTGGTGGGTGCCTATAATCCCAGCTACTGGGGAGTCTGAGAGAGGAGAATCGCTTGAATCTGAGAGACGGAAGTTGCAGTGAGCCAAGATTGTGCCATTGCACTCCAGCCTGGGTGACAAAAGCAAAAAAAAAAAAAAGAAGAAAATAGGCATATATATAATATATGTAGTCTGACAATTGACATTCACTAAGAATGGTCCTGCAATTTCAGTAGTTCTCGAATTTTAAAATGGTATTATGACAATAAAATTTCCCTCATAAAATACAGTTAAGTATGATAACCACCATTTACCTAGTCCTTAGTGAGTTATCATACTCTCAAATGCTTTATTTGCATTGTCTCATTGAGTCTTTAAGATGCCTTAGGAAATCAGCGTACTATTATTTTTCTTTTTTTGTAGAAAAGGAGACATAGGTATCTTGCTTTAGGCCATAGACTGGTAAATTAGTGGAAGAGTTGCTTGAGCCTAGGGAGATGAGAATATCCATACTCCTTTTCTCTACTTTTATAAACCTCTTCAATATCCTATTGTCGGCTCTATTTTGTATATTATAAGGATTAGTAACATTTACATTTCATCTGCAATCACAGGATAAGTTGATGCTAAAAAACTGAGAAAACGCAGCCTGAGCAAGATAGTGAAACTTCACCTCTACA